AACAATATGGTATAGGTAACACCACGCCCTTGTTTAATTTGCATAAATACCCACTTATTTAGTATTAGTAAGCATGAATTGATTCACTATTTTGGTTTTGGGTTGCTACTCACCAAAGGCGCGGGACATAGTTCATCCACATATTCCACCCAATAAGCCCATATTAAGGTAAAAAAACATACTCTTCATCGCGGGCTTCGCAGGCGCGTTCCAAATTGACTTTTTCGTTTGGCTTTTAGGTGGTGAAACGTGAACAGCCTCGTTGGCTGGACGCCATTATCCACATCCCGGTGTTGCAACCGTTGGCCGCAGGCACAACGCTGATACAGCTGACTGCTCTGCCGCCGGAGAATTATTCAACGGCTTCCACTAAGGCCACCAATGAGACCACTGCCGATATGGCTGCCAGGACAGAGGGCATCTGCAACTACACGCTGTCCTCAGCGCCAAATCTGAACTACTCAATGGATTCCAATGGTAGGTCAAGCAGCTAGATCTGTCGAAGGGGTTCTTTGAGTGAATAAAAGACTAATAGTGGATTTTCATGTCGGAGGCGAACTAACAATCAGCCATATGACGAAAGTAAAAGATTGTTTATATAACCGTTGACTAGCCTTAGTCCCTTGTGTTATGTGCAAAAATGGGATGCATGTCTCAGTACTCATCTATTGACCCATTGATAGGAAAAGTTAATTTTCATTGTCCCGGAGCAAAACGATCCCTATAAACAGAGAGATGCTCTGCAAATCCAAACTAGAACTAGATACTGTGGTAAGTAAAAAATTCAACCTAAAACGGCAAATGACACAACTTTGCAAAGTAAAGGCTATTATTAGATAACGTTCCTTTAATCCATAATTTTACAATTTGCCCGATATAGCTGGGCACGGCTCACAAGCTGCAGACTTCGCACATGCACGTATTATAGTATACAATTTTCTGGTGTCGGTAAGTATGGTTGTTAAAATAAGCACTGTTATCATTGGAAAATTAATTCTAGCAGCAATATTTCAGGCCTCGTGGTGTCAACTCATTAGCAACTGAGTGAGGTGAGAGAACAAAAATAAATGCAACCTCTGATGCGCTCCGGGTCATAAACATGAATTCTACTCAGAATAGCATAAATCCAAGTTGATACTCTAATTGAGACCGAAAGGATATGATCCCCAGCGTTAACCTAAATCGCCGTCACCTCTGACTACTATAAGCGTAAGTTATACTATCAGTACTACCATTATTCAGCTGCATCGCCAGTTATAAGTAATAGAAATAGAAGTATTAGCAGAAGCAGTCTTGTGCTTAAAACATTTATCTTGACAGTGGCCGAAGTTAAATGAGGGTAGTATCAGCGCAAATGTCTGTGGTCACTCAGGACTAATTCACGTGATGATCTCGACTCTGTCTTGTCACGGAGTTAAGCTGGTTCAGGGTGGAGCGTACGGTAGGCGGCTGCGCGTTTACATCCACTTAAATCGTATCCTTCACTCCACTCACTCTGCCTGCACCAACGCGGTTGGAGTACATGGTGAATCTATCCCTTCCCAGACCACCACCACCACCGCCACAACAACAACCACCACCCCTACTAAAAATCGTAGACAAAGTTACCTA